GGTATGGGTCAGGGTACCTTAGCTAAAACTAAAACAGCTAGGAAAAGAACATCTTGAGAGGTGACTGATGCACAGGAAGAGTTCGGAGAGAAAACCCCACAGGGATCTGGAGACAGGGCTCCAGACAAAGGGAAGAGCAAAGGCTGCAAAATGGGCAGGAGTTTGGCAAGGTCAGGACCACCTGGCTAGGTGCTGTGTGCAAGGGAAGAACAGAAGGGAAGGAGCACAGAAGCTGTCATGGGGGCAAATCCGGGAGCCCTCCCCACTACAGTGGGGAGTTTGTATTTATCATAAGAAGGGGAGACCCAGTCATTCATTAATGAGTACCTCTTACTAGCCCAGGCCATTCCAGGTCTTGGTATAGAGCAGCAACAGGCACTCAGTTCCAGGGCTGGAAACAGATTCTAAACAAGCAACTAAATAAATGAACAAGACAATGTCGGAGGGCCCTAAAAATTTCAAAGACAAGAAAATAGAGTGAGGAGACTAAAGAGATTACAGTCTACTTTAGATGGGGCAACAGGGAAGGCCTCTTTCAGGAAGACACACTGGAGTGAGTCTGAAATTAAGTGAGGGAGGGAGCCACTTTGATGAGAAATTAACAAGCAAGACAATTCCTGAAAGTGATAAGAGGTATGATGTGGGCACTCTGGGTGACTGTGAAAATTACCCGTGGCCCTCTTATGCATTTGTATCCAAAGAGACATCGCACTCCTGTACACTATCATTACTGTCTGAATGGAGTCACTTTTCAAATTAAACTGAATGTCTTAAACAGGAAAACAGATTCACTAGCGTCAGTAGGAAACCAGATCCACTTGCTGTAAACTAGAAGATAAATTCCTTGGCTTTCTTGACTCCCAGCCTGCCTGTCACCTTTTCTACCCTAACATAGCAACAATCCCCGAAACGCTACTCCTGCCTCTCCCCACCGCAGTTCTTAACTTTGTAGATGGTAGAGGCCTTCTGCTGGAGCGAGCCTCTAACATCCACACAGACCCAAGAGGCATCTCTGTGGCAACAGCTCCCAGAGCGGTGCTCCCTGGCTGGTGTTGGACACTGAGCACACATCACCTACGTATCCTTTCTAGTTCCTTCAACCCAGGACGAGAAACTGTCAATGTTCCTATTCTATACCCGAGAAAACAGAAGCTGAGGCAGTTGGGGAAAGGGCACAGTCGGAACCCACCGCGAGGTCGTCCCAAGCACGCGGCGTGGGGTCAAGGGTCAGGGGAATTCTAAAACCAACGTCTTTCCTGCCACGCAGCATCCACTTGGGGGCAGAAACAGGACCGGACCCCATGTAGCCCGACCTGGATGCCGACTCGGAGCCGAGAGTAACCCCATTCCGGGGCTTCGAGACACCGCCGCTGGGATGGGGCAAGAAGTCACCAGACACCGCCGTCCAGAACAGGCGAGGGGTCTGGGGCACCGTCCACTCACCTCCGCCGGCTCCATCGGCGCGGCTGGTACACGTGGGGGCACCGGGCGTCACCCGGGCTCAGCCGACCCTCCCCCCAGGTCCCACGAAGGTGCAGGCAGGGCTGCCTTGCAGTTCTGACCCGGACCCGACCCCTCAGACCAGCAACGCCACCAACGGTCGTCCACCCTAGAGACACCGGAAGTCCCACTCCTATCAACGCGAGTGGGCAACGCCCCCTTTCTGTGTCGTCATCATCCCGCGCAGAGCACAGCCTTCTGGGTAATGTCGTTTTTTCTTGCATTCGTCCAGGCGAGAGATGCTTCTCCCCTTCTGGGAGCCTAGGGCCAGAAAGGAACGCTGGGAAGGGCAGTGCAGAGGCTCCAAGGCTTCGGATACTCCAAAAGAAGAAGGGTTATGTGTTTCTGCCTCCTGTTATTTCAGATGCTCCTAACGGAGCAAGTATTGTAAATTTTTAAAACTTCACATTTTCCTGCTGCCTCAACATCCCCATGAACAGGCTGTGAGCATCACACCCAGGTGACCTGGTGCATCGGTGTGATCAGGCTGGCCCCTGACATAAGTTTCCTTTCTTGTGCTCCCCTTCACCTGCTGACATTCCAACGTATGGATGAAATCCCCTCATGCCATTTGCTTGTGTACTCCTCCTGACTCCCAATAATGGCACTCGCTCTCTAGAGGGGCTCTCCTCCTGCTTGGTTGAGCCCCATCCCTGGGCAATCATCCCATTTGGCCCCCTGAGTGGGGTGTGGTGTCTTTATAAAAGAGGCTCCAGGAAGTTCCCTTGCTCTTTCCTCCAGGTGAGGACAAGCAAGAAGAAGGCTCTCTGTGAACCAGGAAGAGGGCTCTTACCAGACACTGAATCTGATGCCTTGATCTTGAACTTCCAGCCTCCAGAACTGTGAGAAGTAAATTTCTGTTGTTTATAAGCCATCCAGTCTAGGGTATTTTTTTTTTTTTATAGAAGCCTGAATGGACTAAGATAGATATAATTCATTTTAAAGTCTTAGACTTCTCTGAAAAGAAGAGCCCTTTACCAAATGTTTTTTTCCTATGACAGTGGCTGTGATGATCACAGTCTGAGCCTGTGTGCAAAGGGAGCATCTTATCCCAGAAATAAACATTTAGTTTTTGTTTGAGGATGCTGTCAGTGATCCATATAGTTATTCTGAAAATTGCTAAGTAGAGTGATGGTATCAAGTTGTTTCCTCTCTTTTCTGAATAGACTGTATTTTGAGGTAACAATAGGTTATGGAATATTCTTTATAGAGGATTTCTAGCTAATACATAAAGAAGTAGCAGTAGAAGTAAGATACGAAGTTTCAGCAGCTCATAATCAAACACCCAATGGTCATCATTACACGCTGACACAACAGATAAAAGATGCATGGCAAATTGGTATGGCATTAAAAAAAAAAACCACTAACATTAGGACCTAATCGCTAAAGAGAAACACCCAGATATCAGACTGGGCTTATGTTATACAGTCACAATTTTTTAGCATTGCATGGGGAATATTACAGCCATAGACTGAATCTGGATTTCAAACTTATTTGGATGGCAAGACTATTCACTGAAATTGGGAGTAGTAGGCAAGATGGTGGAATTCTGTTACGATGAACTCAAGGTGTGTTTGAGGCATTCAAGTGGAGATGCTGGATTGAGGAAATGGGGGAGCATTTGGAACAGACTCAGGATCTGTGCTGGGCCTGGACACAGACACTGGCTGGCTGAGTAGCCTGAAGGACTACTACAGGGGAGGGACCACAACATTGCAGTGAAGCTAATCCATTCATTTGATGGCTTCAGCTGCCTCTGCAATCAGATATAGTATAGACAAGGTCAAATATCATAATGGTATTTTTAAAGACACAAAGGCCAGGAAGACACAGCACAAGGGAATGCCTTTGAGAATCTGATTGAAGAAGAGCATAATGAATAAATGAGAATGTGGGAAACAGAGAAATGCACAGTATAGTAGGTAATAATTTCAAGGGGAAGAAATGTCCTTTTTTTCCCCTGAATATGGCCTACAAGAAAATGTATATTACCACTATTCATTATGATTAATATTATGACATGGATATGTGAGAACATAGATGGGTAGAACCAGTTTAGATTACAGTTAGTTGTCAGTTTCTTAAATATTGAAACATTTACATACTTTTAAGTATTGGCACAGGATAAATAAAACATATATTCACATAAAGAATTGTATGCCTATGTTCATTGCAGCTTTATTTCTAACAGCACCAAACTGGAAACAACCCAACTGTCCATTAACAGAAATATACATTAAAAAATTCATATTCTATGAATGGAATATCCATAGAGAATACTACTCAACAATAAAAAGAAAGAACTATTCACATAAGCAATATTGATGTATCTCAAAATAATTATGCAGTGTGAAAAATATCAGAAAACACTTTATGATTCAATTCATATAAAATTCTAGACAATGCAAACTAATCTTCTGTTAAAGAAAGCAAATCAGTGGATTCCTAGAGGCCTGGAAAGGACAAGGAGAGATTATAAAAAGGTTCAAGGTAAATTGTGGCTATGTTCAATATGATTATGATTGTTTTATGCGCTTATATGTCCGACAAAAATTTTCAAATTGTACTCCTTAAATACCTGTTATTGCATACCAATTATGCCTTTTAGTTTTTAAAAAATAGTTCAAAATAAAAAATCTGGATCTCCCACTTGTTTTTAGCAACCAGAAGTTTTAACAAGCCAATTCCACTCTATTTTTCCTTATTCCTGGGGAATGGCAGCCCTGAATCCATGCAGGAAATATTGTCAAGCAATGGATATGGGACAACACTGGTTGGATCGCAAAAGCCACATCCCTGGACAACAGGATCTCTATTCTCTGCCCTCATTTCCCTGCCTTTACAGCAATGTACCTGAGGTACGGGAGATGCACACACAGCTAGGAAGTCCTGTGGTTCCTCACAGTCATAGGCATTGGAAGATTCGTGGATGTGCTTTTAGAAGAGGCACGTTCCATCTCATTTCCTGCAGGCTCCTCCACTGCCTATTAATCACACCCAGGATTTCAGTACTACTAATTATGATTGAAATCTGGCCCTCCAGAGTCTGAGGAGTGACACCAGTCTACAGAATTATGAACATCAGGACACTTGGCTTCTTTGTAGGACCTGGTGAAAAGCTTCCTCTCAACAGTGTGGGACGTTATATGACACTCTCTGAAAACAAGAACAAATTTATGCTGTTCCCAAAGGCACTGGAGCGTGCCCAAACAAGTGACCCCTCCTTGGGGTGACCTATCGTCTCAAAAAATGTGGAGGACTATCTGGAGGACCAGAAAGCATTGCATTGGTTCCTGGGTCCTGGGCAGCCATGCAAATTAGGCCAAAATTGGAATGAGAACTACTCTGTCATTATACTGGTCCCTGCTGAGGTGCATGTGTAGAGGGCCCACAAAAGCAGTCCATTACTTCATACAAACCACGCCCAATTCCAGTAAATAGAACCACCAAGATTAAAGGTAGATTCAATAATAAGACCTTTATTATTGCACAAAACAGAGCAATGGGAGGCAGACAGTTATTGGTTGGTGATGTGGAAGGTGGAAAAATCAACTACAAGTGTCATGAGAGACCAACAGTTTCTGTGAATAAGTAACCTTCCCTGCAAGCCTCCAGCAGAACCACTCTTAATCCAAACTGGGTCAGATTCATACTCAATCAGAAAAAGGAAATTGCTGTAAGGGCACATATTGCTCAAGATTTCCTCCAGGGAATAGAAGTGAGCACAGATATCTACCTTGCCTTAGGTAAATCAGGGTGACCAATGAAATGCAGTGCAAAGTCATAGAGGTGAGACGGCTTCAACCAGACAAACTGGCAGTGGTGTAACTCTGGCAACGGCCTTGGGGAATTCAGAATGTGCAATGCAGCTCCAGTAAGCCTCACACATGCCTGGAACTTATGAGGAATTTCACCTTTCTGGATATTTGGAAGTATGAGGTTCAACTTCAGGCAGATGGCTCCCTCATAAAAGATGTCTATTTTGTGTCATTATAGTGAACAAGGAAACAGCACATATTCTTCAGGTCCAAGGCCCTTCTCAGTTGTGGAACTTCTGGTGCTAAACAATGTTAGATGTTGAAGTGAAGGGTTTCCTGTATTTCCTTTGTCCATGGGGCTGGGGCCTCTCCATTGTGTGGAATTTTCGGTGGAGATTGAGGCTGGAGCGTTGGCTAAAAGATTTGTCACATCTGCTGCATTCATAAGGCCTTTCTCCAGTATGAACCACCTGATGTTGAATGAGAACAGACTTTTGCCTAAAGGACTTCCCACACTGGCCACACTCATAAGGCCTTGCTCCAGTGTGAATACTGCAGTGCTGAATAAGGCTGGTGCTTCGACTAAAGGACTTCCCACATTCACTACACTTATATGGCCTTTCTCCAGTGTGAATTCTCTGGTGTTTCGTGAAGATGGCTCTTCTGCTAAAGGACTTCCCACACTGGTCACACTCAAAAGGCCTTGCTCTACTGTGAATTCGCTGGTGTTCAACAAGGCTGTAGCTTTGTCTGAAAGATTTCCCACATTCAAGGCACTCATAAGGCCTTTCTCCAGTGTGACTTCTGTTGTGCCGATCAAGTTTGGATTTGGATCCAAAGGCTTTTCCACATTCCCTGCACTCATAAAGCCTTTCACTAGTGTGAACTCTCTGGTGTCTAATGAGAGTGGCTCTTTGGTTAAAGGATTTCCCACACTGGACACACTCATAAGGCTTTGCCGCAGTGTGAATTCTCCGATGTTGAACAAGGGTGAAGCTTTGTCTAAAGAATTTCCCACATTCATTGCACTCATAAGGCTTTTCTCCAGTGTGAGTTCTTTGGTGCCGAACAAGATTGGATTTGCACCCAAAGGCCTTCCCACACGCCTCACACTCATAAGGTCTTTCTCCACTATGAATTCTGCAGTGTTCAATAAGGTTGGAGCATTGACTAAAGGATTTCCCACATTCACCACACTTATAAGGCCTTTCTCCAGTGTGAACTCTCTGGTGTATAACGAGGGTGGCTCTTTGCCTAAAAGATTTCCCACATTCACTGCACTCATAAGGCCTTTCTCCTGTGTGAACTCTCTGGAGCTGAACCAGTGAGTACTTAGAGTGGAAGCCTTTTCCATATTTGCTAGATTCATAAACCCTTTTTCTAGTGGATACTCTTGGGTGGAAAACAAGATTGTGTTTGTGGCTGGAAGCTTTCCCACATTCGCGCAACATGTAATTACATTTTCCAATGTGAAAGGCCTCCCCCCACTTGGAGATTTTGTTTGGCTTCTCACCACTGGGAATGATCTGGTGCTGAAGAAGGCCCAGTGTGACTGGGAACTCCTGTCCAACTTTCCTACAGGTGAAGGGATTCCCTGAAACATGGAATATACAGCTTTTTACAAACGATGCTCTATCTATGTCTCTTTTCTCTGCACTGAAATGCCTCTGAAACTGGTGTAGGTTTACACATGCCCCAAGCAAGTACGGTGTCTTCTCAGTTAGATCCACCAGGTGCAAAATGTCTTTCAGGATTGGGACACACTTCTCATAGGGGTGAGTCTTCTGGGTAGATGGACCTGCCTTTGGAGTCCTCACCTGTGACAAAGCTTCTATAGAAACACTCTGCTCAGAAGGTGTCTCTTCATTCTCCGTTGCACGCCAACAAACTGACAGAAGAAAAGTGTTGATGAATCATTCTGAATATGGTGGCAGAATATTAATCATGTCTTTTAAACTTTCTATATAATATGACGTTTTGATAACTTAAAAAACCTTGATGGCTGGGGAGACAGTGCACTTGAACAAAATTATAGACTAAATAGACCTAACAGACAAATACAGAACATTCTATCAAATAGCAGCAGAATACACACTCTACTTAAGAGTGAAATTCTCCGGTATAGATCATATACTAGGCTACTAAACAAGTCTTAACAAACTTAAGAAAACTGAAATCATGTCAGGTGTCTTTTCTGACCAAAATGTGACACTAATAGCAATGAAAAACAGAAGAAATGGAAAATTCACAGATATGTGGAAATTAAATAACATGCTCTTAAACAACCAATGAATCAAAGATGAAATCAAAAGAGAAATTTAAAAAAACCTTGAGGCAAATGAAAACAGAAATACAATATGGTGAAAGTTATGAGATCCAGCAAAAGCAGTTCTTTTTTATTTTTATTTTGTATAAATTATCTATATTAAAATTATCTATATTGTTATTTTGTGTGTGTGTGTGCATGGTAGGAATACTTAAGATAAGGTGTACCCTCTTAGCAAATTTTGAGCATACATTACAGTGTCATTAGCTGTAGACACTGCTATGTAGGAGCTGTCCAGAATTTATTTATCTTGTTCACTGAAACTCTGTACCTTCAACCATTACTTGCCCATTTCCCCCTTCTCCCAGCCATATATTTATAGATATAAATATATATCTATATTTATAAAAAATAAAAATAAAAAAGATCTTAAATAAACACCCTACCTTCTCACTTCAAGAAACTAGAAAAAGAAAAACAAACTAAGCCCAATGTTAGCAGAAGGAAAGAAATAAAGATCAAACTGGAAATAAATTAGAGAATAGAAAAATAGAGAAAATCAAAACTAAGAGGTGTTTTTGAAAAAGATAAAAATGACAAAACTTCAGTTAGGCTACAAAAAAAAAAGAGAAGACTCAAAATTATAAATGAAAGACAGAACATTCAATTGATACCACAGAAATACAAAGATCATAAGAGACTACTATGAACAATTGCACACCAACAAAACCTATAAGAAATGAATAAATTCCTAGAAACATATAACCTACCAAGACTTAATCATAAAACCTGAACAGATCAATAATGAGTAATGACACTGAATCAATAATGTAAACCTCCAAAAAGGAAAAGCCCAGGATTTAATAGCTTCACTGGTGTATTCTATTAAACACTTAACACCAATCCTCTAAAAAACTGAACAGGAGGGAACACATCGAAACTCATTTTACAAGACCAGCGTTACCCTCATATCAAAACCAGATAAGAACTCTTCAACACAAGAAAATTACTGATAGACATAGATAAAAAAAATCCTTAGCAAAAATACTAGAAAACCAAATTCAACAGCACATTAAAAGGATTATACACTATAACCAACTGGACTTATCCCTGGTATAACAAACATAGGCAAGGATGTGGCGAAAAGGTAACCCTGGTACACTTTTGGTAGAAATTAAATTGGTACAGCCACTATGGAAAAAAATATAGGGTTTCCTCAAAAAATTAAAAATAGAACTACCATATGATCCAGCAATTCCACTTCTGAGTATTTACCCAAAGGAATTTAAATCAGGCTCTCCAAGACATATTAGAACTCTCATGATCACTGCAGCATTAACATAATATCCAAGATATGACAAACCTTAATGTCCATAGAGGGAAGAATGGATGAAGGAAATATGAGCTATACACACAATGGAATATTATTCAGCCATGAGAAAGGAGGAAATCCTGCCATTTGTGGCAACATGGATAGACCTTAGCGCACTGTGCTGAGTGAAATGAGCAGACATAGAAAGACAAGTACTGTATGATCTCACTTACATGTGGAATTTGAAACAGTCAAACTTAGAGCAGCAAAGAGTAGAATGATGTTTGCTGAGGCTGGGAGAAGGGGGAAATGGGCAAGTAATGGTTGAAGGTACAGAGTTTCAGTGAACAAGATAAATAAATTCTGGACAGCTCCTACATAGCAGTGTCTACAGCTAATGACACTGTAATGTATGCTCAAAATTTGCTAAGAGGGTACACCTTATCTTAAGTATTCCTACCATGCACACACACACACAAAATAACAACAACAAGAACAACAACAACAACAATAATAATGGGAAGAAACTTTGGGAGGTGATGGATATGCTTATGGCCTTGATGGTGGTGATACATACAAGGGTATATACTTATCTCTATACCTATCAAGTTGTATTCATGAAATATGTACAGCTTTTTACATGTCAATCATTCCTCAATAATGTGGTTTAAACATAAACAAACAAACTTTAACATTTACTAAAAGATATCAATGGCCAAATTTCATAAATGTAATCATTACTGAGGCTCAAATTATACCTAGGGAATCCCACTACTTTTCCACACTGTACCCCTATACTCTTGGGAAAGTAACTAAGTATAAAACAGAGAAAAATAGCTATCCTCACTTGAACATAGCCTTTCCTATATGTCCCAAAGTCATAACACCCATTATCTGAAAATATCCCATATTGGGCATAGGTGCTCTAACATGATGAATAATAAATTTAAATTAACATAAGTCTTTGAAATAGGTTTAGTAAAGTGGTATCCCACAGTCCACCCAGTTAAAATAGTTAATAGGGCCTAATGGAAGTTAAAACAGGGCCTTCAAGGATTAAAATGTATTATATAAAAATCTAATAAAGGGGTGCTTGTCCTAGTTGCTTCTCCATTCTAAAGCCAACGGTGCCTATTCTTAAAGGATACCTCTGGTGGATTACTGCAACCCTAATGCTTTGGCCCCCTCCATTATGACACTATATTAATATTATTAAACACAGTATCAATTATTAAACACAGTATCAATATTATTAAAACTACTTATTCATTTAGAACTTGAAACACAAGGTGCCATGGATCTAATACAGTCACCCTGCCAGGGAGAGGTGAGATGCATTAGGCTGCCAGACTCTTGAACCCCAGACCCATCCTTGCAGGCTTGGGGCAAAGGGCCTTAGGGCTACTCAGGTTAGTCCCCACAGCTCAGTGCTGGCACCCAAAGAACATGTGCCAAGAAAATGGGAAAGTTAGTAGAGCCCATGGTCTGGCTGGGGAAAGGGTAGAGTTGCCTCTGGGGGAAAAAAGGACAGAAAGCAGGACATGGGTGGATGGGAGGGCCTTACCTAGTGAGGCCATAAGTGCCAAGTTCTCCAGCATCACATGATGGTACAGGCATCTCTGAGCCTCATCCAGAAGGCACCATTCCTCTTGCGAGAAGAAAATGGCTACATCTTCAAAGGTCACACAGCCCTGCCACAATTGGGACAAATCATTCTATGATCAATTGCTCTCCTAGGACCCCAAGTTAATCCACCCAGAACTCATCTCCTGCTCACCCTCCTCCCAATGTCTCCACCTTACAGGAGGTACGCAGGACCTGGTGCCACAGGTACCTGCTTTTCTCATGGTTTCATGATCACTGTGTCTGCTCACAGCAACAATAGGCACATGGGCACAGAGAAGCCATCTAAACTCTGAGCCTGACATTAGAGCATATACCCTCTTGTCAGGCAATTCTGGAATCCCATAGATGGAGTCTTCCGGATACAACCAAACATGGGCTCACCCTTCACTCTTATGTCCTCATGGCTTGACATCGTCTTTCAGTTCATACGTTCTACATCACTCTTTCTACCACATCTTTCTCTTGGTTTCACTCCAGCAACCACTTATACCCTCCTGCCCACACCACAGGCATCTCTCTGTCCTCCCCACGTTACTTAGCACATGGCTCCCAGAGGGTGCCTGACAAATTCCAACAGGATCCAGTACTACCCCAGATTTCCCTTGGTCCCTGCTGCCAGAGAGGATGAAATCTGTTCTGAAGGCCTTCTGCCCAATTCTGCTCCTTGCTTCAATCGCAGCCACTGAGAACCACATCAGATATCGGAGACCCACAGCCGTCTACCATTAGTGCAGCACTTGATGTCCCCTCTCCAGTCACTGCCTTCCTCTCTGCATGTAATCGCCATTCAAAGCCCAGCCCCAGAGGTCCTCAAGCCCAGGCCCAGTGACTCTCCCAGATGACCACTTGTGCTCCTGTGCTAATCTACCAGCCTGAATGAAACAGCCCAGATCCAACAAGGATCACAACAAAATCCTGGTAAGTCCAAAGCATGAATAAGCAATAACAGGGGCCTCGATGTCATCTTGTCTCAATGATTCCCATGCCTCTGCATTCCTCTGTCTACATTTCCCATGAAAGCCATGGACAGATCATCCACTCGCCCATAACCTTCCCACAGCCACTTCTCTCCCTCACCTGTGTGTGTGATGCCCACCCCACCAACCAGGTACCCAAGCAGGAGACCCAGTCACAGCCCCACCTTCTCCTTGCTGGGCTTCTAGTACTATTAGCACAAAGACCAGGATACCCTACTAATTATGAGCCTCTGCTGCACCCCAGCACAGACATTAGCCACCACCTTCTGGATGTCTCCACACAGAACATCTCCTCAGAGTTCTAGACCTGTGTGGCCATCTACTAATTGCTCTCCACAAATTGTTTTTTGAAATATCTCGGACTCTTAAGGTAGTAAAAACAAAACTGATTTCTGCAATGAAACTTAACCTTCCTGTTCTGGTAAATGGGGTTTCCATCCTTGTAGCTGCTAACCCCCAAAACTCTGACTCCTACCTTTCTCTCATCTTTAAAATCTGAAACTCTGGGTGGCTCTAATTAGAAAACTGATCCAGATCCAACCAGTTCTCCCACCACTATGGCCACCACACCAGTACAACCACCGACACTCACCTGAAGTATTGCTGTGACCTCTTCCCTATTATTCCTATTGCCTCCCCAAACCTACACTCAGTACTATAGGCTACAGCCACAGGGAGCCTGACTTGGGCGAGATCACCCCCCTCCAAAACTCCCATTACTCCCTTCACCTTCAGAAGAGACAGCCAACTTCTCATGGAGCCAATCCAGGCCTGACACTTTCCCATCGGCTCTCAGTTATCCTTTTTGTCTCATGAGAAAGGAGAACTACAGGTCCCTGAAAACACACAGCCTCACCTCCCAGCATCAGCACATTCTGGTACCTGTGTCTGGAACAATCTTTTACACCTCGTGGTATTGGTTACCAACAATAGGAACCACTCCATACAACCTCCAGCCTCGATTTATGACCTCGGGCTTAGGGTTTCTTCAGGGTCCCCAGGCCCAAGCACTGGAAGAGTGACAGGCAGAGAGTCCGAGGACACACAATCCTAGAGACGAAGGGTGCAATGGAGATTACTGAGAGGCTGGAACCCCCTCCCCTCCCCTGGGTACAGTCCATAAACGCTTCCGTAGTCATGGGAATCTGGGGGAACATGGAAGTCATTAGAGGGGTGTACCCACCGCTGGGCTCCATACGCTCAGGCCTCCCTGTACCCCTCTGCAGCCCTGGAGGCTGGTGACTTGGGATGACAGCATTATCTCTGGGCCTCAGTCCTCAGTACTGACTCTTACAGCTGTGTGACCTTGGACAAGGACTCAACCTCACCGTGCTCAGCGTTATCATCATCCTCTTTTCCAATCTGTTCTAACTTAGGGCAACTTTGAAAAACTTGAAAAGAAATGGTGCCTCCTCTATTTACAACGAGCTCCCAACCT